TGTTCCTTGCTCTTTGCATTATCTTCGTTCATTGTTCACTGAATTGTTTATATCTCTGTACCTAGATCGTTTTGATTCCATGTCATTACTTTTGCATTAACATTGTGTTTAACTATATAATCACCTAAGTCTAAGTTTAGCGCGGCAACGAATCGAAAATGCTGAAGCCAAAAACAGCCTAAGTGCTCTCATATCTCACGCACGAATAATAGTCGTTGAGATTGCCGATAGCACTTTCTATCAGGCAATCTCTCGTCAGATCGTTGAGAAATCCTAATCTGGTTTACTTTCTTGAGCATTTCTAAAATTCTATTTTATATTGTCGGTACAGCATGCTCTGCCATCAGCTTGATTTCGTCACGATCCAGATAGCCGGCATCACTGAAGTGTAGGAATCAAATTGATGGTAGAAAGCATCATGAAAAATTCACTACTGCAATTACTACTGTACTGAATTCTGCAACATGCTTTGTTCCCGATCGACTTGATTTTCCTGACCTTGTCATGACGGCTATCTGAATCGTTACAAAGTGAAGTCGAAGGTAAAAAGCATTTTGGAAAATTCATCACTAATCCACTAAAACTCAAAATTTGATGCTGTGCTTAAGTCACTGATGTGGATACGTTCAATCTTAATATATTACTTGAGAATGTATTATTATTGTCACTTGTTTTGTGAAAGGCTAGATTTCTCAAGCAAAACTGTAATTTTCTGAAAAAGACGAAGACGTCGAAACGTTACCTGGGCAATTATATAAATGTTTGGAGCAATCTTGTGTTTATCAAACATCTGATTACACGTGTCAAAGTTGAAAGAAGAGTTCTTCAGAACTGTTTAGTGTTAAAATCTTCGATGACCCTTGAAAACGATAAAGTTAATTTAGCTCTTTGGAAATTGATGTCAGGTCAACCTATATATTTGAAGTGATATATGTCACTTAGAAAAATTTCACCATCAAAAAATATAAATCCAAACATTTCCACATGCTTACTTGCTGAGTTTACTTATATCAAGCGCAAAAAGTTCAAGAACTTTGGATGCAGTAAAGTCGGTAAAGAAAGATTGAACCCCTCCTTGGTTTCTGAAGCATTTCTAGCATAAAAAATGCCGAGAAGCTCTGAGAGGTAGTAATTCGTAGATGAGACATATAACGAGTATGTTGCACAAGGTGGAGTGCCATAGCGCAGGTCTGTCCGTTTCTGCAGCATTAATAGTGTGACCTGCAGAAGCCCGATATCTTAAAGAAGGATTGATCGTTTCTTTTTCAACGATGAGATTAGCATCCTTTGAAGCTTCTGAGGCAGTACTTTTACTGGCTGGAAATTTCAACCGCAATCTTATTTCTAATATTTAAGGAGCTTTGGTGAATCAGAGCAGCTGTAAATAAGAGAACGGTCACATGGCCTTTCCGGTAAAATTCAGATTTGAGACGCACTGCAAAGATCTATCGAGTCTCATCGACAAGTCAACAACCGCCGCATAGGAACCACTTTTTTTGCGGGATACTCTAATATAATTGAAAATGCTGCTGTTTTGGTTCAATTCCAGAGAAGAATTGTTGATGACGGCTCAAAACTGAACTCCGATATTGTTATTCAATTACAGACCAACCATTTAACTACCTTCTTCAACATTCCAAACCTTCAAGAGCGCACCAAAAACGGTGAGGTGATTGCAACAATTTCATTCCCAAAAATTCTAAACAATTCACTAGTATTTTGCTCTAAGATCCATTCGCGCCTGAGTAGCAGAATATTTTGCTCCAAAGACAGCTCCATTTTGAAAGAAGTATGGGCCAGTTGTTATCCAAATTGTTCGCAAAGGAATGCGCAGTTCAACGATAGAGGAATCGGGCAGATTTAATCAACTCTGTAGAATGAATTTGGTGTTTATTGCTTTAGTACCGAAACTTATGGAACGACCTAATACATTCGGTTTAATCCTTCAAGGCGGCAGATGATCGATCACCCAACGCGATTGCAAGCAAAGAGCAATCTTGTTATCTCACCAAGGTGTTTTATTTTTGAAAAAGCCTTCGCTCTTGCTTACTGTATCACTGCATGATTTTCTCCAGGTGCTCTTATGCTCTTAATGTAAACATACATACCTCATATTTGCGAAGAAAACTCGAGGATGAAGCGTAATTTCTTTTGTCTAACAATGCTGCTCGAAAAGAGCGGCAAGCGGTGAGCGATGCTTCTCGTAAAAAGATACGACGCGAGCGAAGACGAAAGTGGGGACCACAACGAGGACGAGGAGCTGTGAGGCATCGACTCGAATCAACCGGTTTTACAGAAGACAAAAACCAAAAAAAAAGCGCCAAACCGTTACTGAATAGATTTATTTATGACAGTTTGTGAAGTTGGTCAATCACAGCAAGAGACCATGATTAGTAAATCCGAAGTTAATGAAAAATTGGTTATCAAATTGTTATACAAAAACTATCTTGAAGACTAGATATCTTTTGAGCACCACTATGATTAAGGCTATCGAATGAATACCAAGAGTCTTGAAAAATCTATTCAAAGGGCTCAGTCGAGTAAGCAAGCAATCCTAGTGTAGAATTTATTGATAATATTTTATTGCTACGGCGCATCGAAAATTCCTTCAACAAACAATATCGGCTGCTGAATTCCTCAGTTCACAAGATACCAAATAAGTCCAAAACTTCAATGGATGATTTCTCTCCGGTGAAAAAGCTAGGCAAAAAGTTCTGCATGAAATAGAATGCACTCCGTCTCAAAGGTTAGTATTGGAAAGCACTATATCTCTCAAATGTAATTTTTTCTAAGTTGACATAACGAGTGCGCTGCCTTTTCACCACGAGGCGTTTTGGCAAAACTATACTCATTCGCGTTAGTGGCCACACTGGCTGAACACTCTTATGCCAATAGTACAAGTTTTAGTACGCAGTCTGTCCAACACGAACTCTCCTCTCCTTTCTGCTTTGGTATACATATTTATATTTATATAGTGATGCTTGGTAGCATGACATGTATTTTGGGCATTCAATTGATACACCATAATCTGCGAATAAAATTATTTACACTAAAACGACGCGTATTATTTCCATGAGGATCAGGTGATCCGGATAAAATTCGCAGTATTAACTGGGCTTCAAAATAGAGATAACCTTTCCCCTGATGGAGACTCACACGCTTTCACTACACCAACAAGGATGCTTCCACTGCCTTATTTCCGCTATGTTCCTGACTCTACATAGCACATAAGAGCTATTCATCTTTTTGAGTGTGAATGCGGAAATCAAAACTATCCCCTACCTCATGAACATCGTTATTGTGAGATGTAATCGCAAACCAATATTTTCACAAGCGTTCTTGAAATGAAGCAACATTAGTTCTGTCTGATTGACCTTTGATGTTATAGGAGCGTTGTCATCAACAAAGTGAAGGTTATCAGTTGTCGATCTACCCGCTGTTTTCTATGATAACGATCGCGTATTACGTTTTGGATAGCGGCACTGATTAATTTCAGTAAATTGCTATCGCTTTCTTGAACTCCTCTTCGTACATCGAGAGTAATATCGTTTTGGGACGGTGATTTTTTGGTTGTAAATTATACAGAGCTTCTGTGACTTCTTTCGTTTTAGTGCCAAGCTCGGCATAAATAGTACCAGTGATGAAATGTCTTGAAAATTCATACAATTTGAGACGGATGGTTGCCCGCTTACAGAGACCACTTCGTACGCTTACCTAGGGCGCTTATTGAAAATGGAGAATAACTTGGAAGAGGAAATTGACAGACGAAAAATGAAAGCGGGCTGCAATCAGGGCTTTCAAGGAAGTCACCAACCAAATTACGGACCCAAAACTACTTGACAACCTTTTCAACTCAGCGGTAGTCCAGCGTTTGGCAATGCCAGCACATGGATTGGCTGATATGTCGACCACGTCAAGACTAGTGGAATAATTCACAGAGTGCATGAGCAATGTGTTCTGATTCAGTCGGCATTCACAACGTCAAGCTGTTTTGCGTAGCTCAGATCTAAAAAACCTATCTCGCCTTCGTGTTTCAGAAAAATATACGTCGATAGCAAAACACAGAATGGCCGTTATTTTAGTAAGAAGAATGAACGACACATGAAAAAAACGAGCTTCAGAGTGGACTGCACGAAAATACACCCGTCCTCCAGGGCAACCACATACACGATGGGCGCACTGTTTGTAAAAAAATTTAATCAGCTGTACTCTCAGGTGCCGATATTTCAGAGGTTACGGTACGAAACTCAAGCCAGCTGCATTGAGAGTAGAAGAATGGAATGAAAAAAATGATGGGATCGTGTAAATCGTAAAGACGGATCGTATAAGTGTCCAAGTAAGTACTTTCACGTATTAGAGAGTTGCTATAAGACATTGTTAATAATACATGATTTAATACGTGACACAAAACATGATTACATCAAGATGATACAATGAAACACAAGCGAATGTATCGAAGGACGATTACCAATAAAGCTGGCGAACGAGATGAAAACACAAATAATACCAACTAGATTGATGGTTGCGAATACCCTACTTCAGACTAGTGTAAGCCCAGCCTATCTCCCATTCTTTTCTTTCTCTCATCGCCTAGTGCAGTCTGTGTTGAGTATGGTGATGTTTTCGAGGCACGTTACGTTATGTAAAAATCCTCTACATGCTATACATGCGAAAGATTGAAAAAAGAAAAGTGAACACATTTGTTCTCTTTTCAAGTTGTCGTACGAGACGGGAACCGTATATAAACCGAAGCGCTGCCTTGATAACTAGGCATACAGTGACAACCAGTCATGAAAATGCTATGTAGCAACATATTATGGTGGCCTTCTATGTTGCTCAATTGAACGAACCTGGTTAAAAACTCTGGCTCGCTAGAAATAAGGTAAAAAAACCAAGTAGTACCATAGGACCTGCTCGACTCATTTAAAAATCAGAAGAATAGAATTACTTTCAAAAAGTTACACTTATACCCAGAGATGTAGAGTTATGGGCGAAACTTTCGCGTGAGGCGGGATTCGAACCCACACCTCACTCTCTCCGGCAGCGCATGCTCTAACCCGTTACACTACTGACGCCCACTTTGCGCACCACTCTTTCAAGCTAGAGCAAGCTCACCCAAAGAGGGTGAGGTATGGATTCGGCTCCCACCTAACGCGAAAGTTGCACATCACTCTACATCAACTGGGTATATCTATGAAATCTTACCACGGCTAAAGCAATTAAATAAAAATAATTCCATTTATTCTTCGATACCCAATATCTGCCAGAGTGAATGGGTTCAGTTCGATACCGACTACCCAGGCCAGGCCGTTGACGCTTGGCAGCTGACAGATAGATGCGCTGTAGCACAGAAAGGGTGGTGTGCAAAATGTGCGTCAGTAGTGCAACGGGGTTAGAGAACGCGCTCCCTGATAAAGTGGGGTGCGGGTTGAAGACCCGCCTGAAGCGGAAGTTTTGCACATCACTCTACATCACTGGGTCAATCAAAAGAATAGTAAGAAACCAAGAAATCTTAGAAGTTTATTCACAGATTCAGTACTACATGACAGTAGAAAACAATGATTTGATATCTGCGTTAGACGCCACTCGATTAGTTTCAGTTATTCGGGTCTTGTCTCTTTGTAAGAGTATCGAAGTTCAGAACAGTCCGTAACTGAGTTTGAGAGAGCGTATCATAATTAAACACTTCAAAGATGTGCTATCCCTTCTGGATTAGTGGATGTTCTTCAGAGAGTAAGCTACAAATTTTTATGATTTGAATAGATAAGAAACTCGATTCCGTTAAAGCAGTATTATGACCATATTCGTCATTAGGCATCTTCTCTATCACTGCCTTCTTAGGCAAAAACATTGTTGGAAAGAGAGGAGGCCCAGTCGATTCCTGACATGAGTAATGTCTGTATAACATCTAAATATGTCCATAGTCTGATATCATCGATGGACTAGTTAAACAGAAGCCGTCCCGACATCCGCAGTTCAACTCTGTTCCCGTTATTGATCTTTAGTGCTTCTTAATGGTCAATTTTGACATTCGAAGTTCGTTCGAGATTTGTTTGTTTCTAGATCTAAGCCTTGAACATGAATAGATTTGAGTACCTTATCCTAAATCAAATCGGTAGTCAAGTTGATCATATAGGATTAGCAACTCAAGAAATACTGCAAGTATGGTAAAATATTTTGTGAAAAGTTATACATCACCATCACCCTGACTCCGTATGACCAATGAAGTGACATTCTTGCGCTCCTCTTCATCCATTTGCACAATCCAACAAATAGGCATTACCAGTTGTATTATTATTCGTATTCATAGCCTTAAGACAACACAACGAAGAATCTCCAAAGATACTGAATGTTATAGCCATATATTCAAATAGAGCAATGTTAAGGAAACGAACTCGAGAAGGCGCTGTATAACTACATTCAAAGGAAATAATCAGAAGACACTGTACAACTACATTCAAAGGAAATAAACAGGAGACACTGTTCAACAACATCCAAATGAATTAATCAAAAGGTAAGGGCAACTATATTTGAAGGAAATAATGAGAAGACGCTGTGCAATTTCAACAAAAAAAGATCAGAGAAATTTTCAATTGTGATTTTGTGCTTTGTTGATTATAATATGCTTGAAAGACAAAATTGTCATAACGCATATGTCCTGTCAATCCAAACTCACTTTAAGAGGTTAACAAGGGAGAGCACATCTGAATGAGTATACCAATTTCTCTTCGTCTCTCAGCGTCTCTTGAAAAACTGTATCAAAACAAAGTTTGGTTTCAAGAAGCATTGGATTTTTCCACGAGAAGTTATGCTACTTGTAGTGTTTTGTGTTCAATGCAATTTCCACATCTTAATGAAACATAAGGCAAAACTAGATTGAGTCAGTTGAAAGTTTGCACTTCCAGTGATTTTTCATCTGCAGACTCTTTTCCAAAGTTTGTAGGTAATTTATGCATGTAGATTTCAAAGCGGAGTCGCTGGCCAGGTGGCAAATGATGCTCGGCGCGAGGTAGATTTTCAGGTTTTCAGGATAATGTAACTTACACAGTGATAACAATTTCACCTCTTGCAGCCAACTATGTATACTTTTCTTGAGCTGTAAATTTCGACGTGGCAATTTGGCTTCATCTTTTGATAGCGTATGGTGTCCTCTTTTGTTTGGGCAAAATCTGGAAGGCAAGACAAATCGTTTTATGATAAAATAGTACATCGATTTTGAGCTAATACTATCATAATAAGACGCTAGCCATTGGTTCACCGAGAACTGACTGATATGTAGGCGAAAATTAACATACATGAAAATGCTACTCATGGGAAGTCATGAGCTATGGTTTCGCAATGTGAGCATTTGATAGTAGTGGTCTCTATAGTGGTTTTCTGCACTCAACCTCACAAACTAGCTTATAAGAGAAGCTAATGAGGTCCGGCATAATGTCATTTTTCACAGTACAAACATACCGATTCGAGCACTACATTTGAAGTTTTATTTGCTGCCTGAGAACTCTTGCCTTTTCATGGGTACTTTTGAATTTTAATAGAGTCGATTTTCTTTGCACACTTGGCATAGCTGGTCCTATGGCGTCCTATTGCAGATTGGAGGATGTTGCATCGATCCAGGCAATTCTCGTTCGACCTACACATCTGCGTAGGAATGAACAGTTTGGTAAATTGAGACATTTTCGAGAACGTGATCATGATGTCTGACACTGCTAACACTGAGCTAGCTCCTCTCTCAATGTTCGGTTGCTGATGTGAGGTATAATTTCCTGTTGATGTCTTCGTGTTTTATGCGTTAAATGAAGGGGCAACATGGGAAAAAGTTTAGCAGTAAAAGAAAAATGCTCGTCTCTAAATCTTACAACGCATTTCTTGCTATCCTGAGGTGTTCTAAGACTTCTCCAGAAAGAGTAATAACTGCAATTTTGTGAAATTGCAAACGTTAAATGATGAACGGCGTTAAATTCGAAAAACATTTCATCATGAAAAGTGTCCCTCTTTTCGTGTATAATAGACTTATGGGAGTCGATTCAGTCTAGAAATGCTAAGAGCTCTTTTTTCTCATACGCACTATAAATATGTCACTGACGGAGCATAGGAGATTTTCTTTAGCATGCTTTGCTGCAAAGCTCATAATTGAAGTCACCTTAGTTGTCTATTGTCGATTAGTATCGCGAGTTGTGCATAAGCTGTCTACATTTTCATTTGATGTTCAAAATCCCAGAGTTGTTAGAGACGAAATATTGATGAGGCATTTAGGGCTATCTGATTCCGCGTACAAAGCAAAGACCTGAGTTTCAGGCGGGACTTGAGCCAGCGTTTAACCCATACTGAGAGCGCGTGCTACAATCACAACACCATCGTCTCTGTCGTGCCATAGCTATATGTGACAGGTGTAGCAACTGTCAGTAACCAGCCATCAACGGGTTTGGTCTGGTAAAACATTAAATTCACCGATGCTGAACTCAACTTGACATCTACTGGATATATTTGATCCACGAAACTTCTGTCTATGAGAAACGATGAATAGAAAATTCTTGCAGTTTGTATATGAGCAAAATGATCATCGACATCATGACATTGAGTACAGCAAGAGTTGTGCTCGGGCGAAAGAGTTGTAACATAAGGTGACTATTCAAATTTATGCCGATGTCACCTCGAGAAGTCACGAATGTGTCAGAAAGATTAACAAGCTGTGCGTATTCGTCGACAGAATTTATAGGCGAATCGCCCCACTCCAAATGAATAGTCGCAGTGTTGATGGCCTCACGATGCTCGCTATGTTTTTAGAACGCTTTTTGAGAAAAAGAGAACAAGCTTATTTTTAGTAGAATCTCTAAGATTGACGATATTAGATGAGTTTTGCGATTTTGATGTCAAAAGGTCATGAACTCATGAGAGAGATTTCTAAACACAGAGAATGCGCCCAATTGTTTTCAAAAGATGCCAAATGCTTTTTTTTCAGCATGAGTAAAACGAAATTCCAAACTAAAAACCTTTTATACTGGTTAGCTGATTTCGGCATATACGACATAGAAATTGTTTGATTATATTCAATAATTATTTCATGTACAACATTTCATGTGCCTGATACTATTCGTCGCAATCAGACGCCTGGATGATAACACTGTTCTCATTTTATACTTATATTTGTTTGAATGGAACCGAATCTAGAGAGTGGGAGAAAATTTTCCTCGTATCAAATATTGTTGTTTGAAGATAGTGTAAGCCAAATTTCTGAGGCTACAAAGGCCTTTGATTGTTGCAAGACGAAGAGGTTTTGTGGAGCAAGCCCGACATGCTTCGCTGCCCTTCTAGTTTCTTTTCCTTTAATACAATGGGTGAAAGGCGTAGACGTCTTGGGATTTTCTGCGCTACCTTGAGGAAATGCCTATTCCTCGCTTCAGAATCTCTAGAAAAGAAAAAAAGAAAAAAAGAAAAGAAAAAAAAGAAGAAAAAAAAAGAAAAAAGAAAAAAGAAAAGAAAAAGAAAAAGAAAAAGAAAAAAAAGAAAAAAGAAAAAAGAAAAAAAGAAAGAAAAAGAAAAAGAAAAAGAAAAAAAGAAAAAAAAAAAAAAAGAAAAAAGAAAAAAAAAAAAAGAAAAAAGAAAAAAGAAAAAAAGAAAAAAGAAAAAAAAAAGAAAAAAAAAAGAAAAAGAAGAAAAGAAAAAAAAAAAAAAAAGAAAAAGAAAAGAAAAAAGAAAAAAAAAAAAAAAAGAAAAGAAAAAAAAGAAAAAAAGAAAAAAAAAGAAAAAAAAAAGAAAAAGAAAAGAAAAAAAGAAAAAGAAAAAAAAAAAAAAAGAAAAAAAAAAAGAAGAAAAAAAAGAAAAAAAAAAGAAAAAAAAAAAAAGAAAAAAAGAAAAAAAAAAAAAAAAAAAAGAAAAAAAATAAAAAAAAAAAGAAAGAAACCGGGCGCTATCCACGTCTACCGTTACAGGATGAAGTTTTAAGAATGCAGTAGTGCTACATTGATTTACTCTTGCACAGTGCTGCTTACATTTGCAATCCTACATTGGTCACTAAACATGCAGATGTTAGAGAACTTTCTTTCTGAGTTGCATTTAGTATTGAATTTCTTGA